ACCATTAACAATAGTAGAGAAGTAAGGAGCGCACATAGTACCTTTAATCCATTTGGTCCATTGAGGGGGGGAAGCCGAGCCTGGACATGATGCTAAAGAGACAGCTCCAATTAACGTTGTCGAAAGCTTTCTCTATGTCGAGCTTAAAGAGCAAACCCGGTCTTTTGCATCTTCTTCTAGTGTCAATAAGTTCGTTAGCAATCAGCCCAGCATCGGAAATCTGCCTCCCACAGACAGAGGCGTGTTGCTGTTTGGAAACCAGGTGAGGAAGAATGGGGGCCATTCGACGCGCCAGAACTTTGCTGACGAGCTTATTAAAGCTACTCATAAGGCAGATGGGTCTGAGATCCTTGACGTCTTCAACGGAGTCTTTCTTGGGAGCGAGACAGATGAAAGAGTGGGTCACTGAATTGGGGAGATATCCAGTGTTGTGGTACTTAGTCCCCTGAACCCTCATTCAGGGTATAGTATGTGATGCATGATAATTGTTAATGTTTGGTTGATTGAATTCAATTAATGTGTCCAATGCTTCAATTTGGGGTTTAAGTTCACACGGTTTATGTTTGCATTTGTTTTGCCATATTTTCATGATCTATAGACTTGACTTAAATTGTGATAACCATTCCCCTATGTTGATTTCTCACCTAATTGATGCCTCTTGCTATTTACAGCCATCAACAAAATGCAGGTGCAGTAATCTTATTTTCTTATATCTATGGTCCCTTTATATAGGGCGCCAACCGTGGATGCCAAGCGGGCAAGTTTGTGGTCCCTTTATGAACGACGAGAATAAGTGATTCCTTCAAAAAAATAGGAAAAACATCAATTTGTTAGTTCAAATAAAGCAAAATAAAACCTTAGAAAATAATAAAATAAAGCAAATAAATCATCAAATTACCGGATTGTTATCCCAAATAGCACGGGAGCGATGAGCTTCTTGATCGGTTAAGAGTCTCATATCTCTTGGCCCATAATGGATATACAATCAAGGATCGTATATCTCGACACCCATCTATAAAAAAAGTAATGAAATCAGAGATTGTTTTGATAAAAAAAAAATCGCATATCAAATTGTTTCTATTAAAAAAAAAACAAAAAAAAAACCAAAAACCTACACGAAGAGCCTCTTCGTCCATTTTTTGGCAGAAGCCGGACTGAGGGATGACGGGTTCGGGTTTGTAAGGGACGGGAGCTTAGGGGGACGAGGGCTTTAGGGTCAAACTCTAGTAATTCTTTCTAGTGTGGAAGATCGGACTTAGCCGCAACCACAGAGCATACTTAGAACGAGACTAGAGCGGATAGATTGAGGGAGAAAGAATTGTAAATGTGGTGGTGTGATTTGGAAGAGGGGGGAAGGGTTCTATTTATAGGGAAGGATGGGAGGGATCTGCGAAAATTAATGGGGAGCATTCACCGCGTCCCTCAAAGGCGGTGAATGCTTCGCCTTTTTCAAAAACGGCAACAGACGCGGATCGAGCGACGTGGCGTGCTGTGAGGCGTCGGATCCGGGAAGAAAACCACGATACGTGCCTCACCGCATCCAACGGCCACGGTGAGTGGGTCAGCAACGCGGATCGCTGACGCAAACAAACACGGGGTATTCACTGTGTTTGTCCAACGCGGTGAATACACCGCCTTTGTCCACGTCAGCGATCCTTGTCGCTTGATCGTGGCCTATTGAGACGGTTTAGTTTTCACCGCGTTTTATTAAAACGGTGATGATTTCACCGCCTGCGTCTAAAATGGTGATTGGCTCGCTCGTTATTCACCGTTTTAGAGGGCGACGGTGAATACGTCGCCATTTTTTTTTAAAACGGTCAAGTATTCACCGTCTTTGTCAAATGCGGTGATAGTCTTCACTGCGTTTGTCAAAAATGGTGAATGCCAAACATGTGTAGTTTTGGAAAAAAATTTATAACTTATGTATTTTGGGAATTTTTTTTAAGAACATGTGTACAGTGGGATTTTTTCGGTTACGTTGCCAGCACGGTTCTGGTGGAATCTCTTATCTTGGTGTGGCAATTTCTGATCCAACCTCCCCCTTCTTCATTCATCCTTCGGAGAATTGGGGGCAGTGCCGTGTTTCGCAACCATTGAATGATAATAACTTCTCCAACTAGGAAAGATCGACGATTCTACTTATCGTCGGCAAGAATAAGTTAGGGTTCTTTACCGACATGATTCCTTAACCAAATGACGATTCTCCTCTTCTCAAGCCATGAAAGCGCAACAATAAACTTCTTCTTAGCTGGACTCAGCACTCTGTCAACCCAACTTTTAGAGAGAACATTCTATATGTCATGACTACGAATGGGGCTTGGAACGAATTAAGAGAATTTTTTATCTAAAGGAGACTCATTTGGAATTGCCAACTTGCAGGAATCCATCTTCCAACTCAAACAAGGTACTCTTAGCATCTTGCGATACTACCCTAAGGTCTAAACAAAGAGCTCTTTGGGATCAATAAGCCAATTTTCGACCGAGTACTCAATGTGAATGTGGTGCAACTTGTCACTTTATTCTTCATTTCCTCATAAAAGATCCTATGAATGACAAGATTATTCGTTTCTTGGGGAACTTGAATGATAGTTTTAATGCACCTCGATCCACAATAATGTTGCTTGATGCTTTGCCTCCCATCAATAAGGTATTTGCCATGATGTTGCAACATGAAAGAGAGAACAACCTTCTACTTAAACCTAGCTCTCAACTTAACTACAATCTTGTTGCTCATAGTATGGCCTTTTTTACTAGAGCAGCTTGTAACAACTCTGTGTGTTTGAGAGCAAATGATCAGGTTTTAAAAAGCAAGGCAAAAAAAGCCATCATGTACTTATGGTGGGTACATTGGACATACTGAGGATATATGTTCTAAGAAAAAATGGATATGCACCTGGTTATGAATCCAAAAGAAGAATATATCACAGCAAGCCAACAATGTCCTTGTTGAGCATGGAGATTCTTCAACTAGTGCTGATGTCATGGTTTTCCCAACAGAAATATTTGAATTTCCAACAACAGTACCAGAAAATTATGCACATCATACAACCCTTCTTTACCAATGTTGGCTCCCAGCAGGTTATTTAGCAAACTACACAACAGTAGTTGCCACCTCAACCTCCTCACTTTCAGTATGCACGTATGGTGAACAATCAACCTCATCCATCTCGCTCTACAAAGAATGATGGTTTTGGTTCTCACCAGATCATCAGCAGATCTAACTCTGTGGCATCTCACGTCTCTGAGGTTCTAGCATCTACAGGTAAATATAACTTGGCTCTCTCTACAACATTTACACATAAAAATAAGTGGATCATTGACACAGGGAGCATTTAATATGTTCATTAGACTCTTTCATTGCTTAAAAAAATGGTATCAAATACTTTTGTACACTTACCAAATGGGAATAAGGTGTCTGTCACTGCAATTGGCACAATTAGATCACTCAACTTCTTTAATACTGAAGAATGTTTTACTTGTTCCTAGCTCCACATTTAACTTGGTTTCTGTAAGCTAATCAGTTAAGAAATCAACCATATATTTATGGTTTCATTCTTCCTTGTCTTATTTGAGAATTACCTTCCCTAACAATGATTAGTGCATCTAGCCTCATAGAAGAACTATACATAGTGCACACTCCTAAGCATCATATTTCCAAAGGCTCTTCATTACCATCTTTTTCAATGTCTTGCAGCGGTTCAATGTCTTGCACTATAGACTTGGACATCTTCCGCATAACAAAATCCAGTCTTTACATATCAAAACTTCAATATACATGTTCCTTTATATTGTCATTATATATATTGACATATGGGGATACTCCGTCAAAATCATTAAATGGCCATTCCTGTTTTCTAACAATAGTAGATGACTTTTCAAGACATACCTGGATTTTCTTAATGAAGCATAAATCTAAAACTCAAAATATCATTATTAATTTCTTTGAATATGTTTTAATACAATTCGATGCAAAAATTAAATTACTCAGAACACATAATGGTCTTGAATTTCAAGTTACATAGTTTTGCAACTTCAAAAGAGTCCTTCATCAACAACGTGTGTTTACTCCTCCTAACAAAACGGAATTCTTGACAGAAAACAACAGCATATATTGGCAATGACTAGAGCTTTACTATTTCTAGCTTACTTATCTCCTCACTTCTAAATTTTGCTCTTATGGATGTGTACTTGATAAACAAATCACCAACCCCTTTTGCTTAATAATTCCAATCCATTTGAAAAACTTCATGGTCACAAATTTGATCTCAGTCGCGTAAAAGTTTTTGGCTCCCTCATGTATGCCTCAACTATCCAATCCACGAGAACAAAACTAGATCCAAGAGCTTCTCCCTATGTTTTCTTTATATCCAAATTGAATCATGTTTAAGTAAGGAAGGCAAATAGTGGTGCCAGTTAAGTCGAGGTAGTTCACTTTAAGAGTTAAAGTATAAAGGGTGAAAGTATAAACAACTTTCACAAGTTTTGAAGTGAACATATAAGGAAATAACCTTAGGTGCTTCGAGTTTTGGTAATGACGTAGTCTTACCCCAACCCACTCACCAGGTCGTAGAGGAAGACCGAGAGAGTAGCCAGTTGTAGAGAGAGCAGCCAGCTAAAGGAGGACAGTACAAGGGTCACTGATGGTGTCAGAGATCGAATTCCAGCAGGAAGTAGCGTTGGCTTTTAGTTATTATATTGTACGATTATGAGTAGTAAGATTTTATGGTTGAGATTTGCCCAAGTGTTAGGCGTTTGTTTTAAGCAATGACAGTGTATTTTTAATATTTATTGAAGTCATTCATGAAAAGCTTCCGTTATTTTTTTCAAGTCTTTTCAGTCCTTATTTTGGTTCACTCTTTATCAATGAAATTTTGATAAAAGTAGTGTCTTGCCGGACTAGTGTGTTACACTATTTATCAATGAGAATCATAGGTGTTTGTAGCGTTTTCAATTCCAATAGCCTTGCTGTTACACAAGCACAACCACCAGTGCTGCAAAACCTAGAGACCAGTCTCTTCAAGAAATGGGTAATCTGTGTACCCAACAACAGGATCCAAAGTATAAAGCGTGGCTCTATCGTACTTTTTCAGAGGTGCATCCAACTCAAATCTCCTGGGCAAATCAGGATTCGCCAACAAGCAACGACCATAAGCCACTAAATCCGCCCGTCCCTCTTCCACAGCTCTGTTCCCATCTTCCCTGGTGAACCCACCAGCAGAAATGAAAGTACCCTTAAAAGCCTTTCTCATAGGAACCAAACTTTCTTGGGCCTGGAACAGTCGATCCCCTAACTTCATTCTGGGCTCGATCACGTGACAATAAGCGATGCCATATTCGTTCAAGGCTTGGGCCATGTACAAGCCCAACTCTTCTGGGTTCGAGTCGCCGAATTCTAGATAGTCCGTGAAAGGAGACTATCTCTAACTCGGCCCGAACCGATTTCCTTGCTCACGGCTTGGATTATCTCTAAGGCGAAACGATATCGGTTCTCCAGAGAGCCGCCATATTCGTCGGTCCTGTCGTTGACTTCATCTTTCATGAATTAGTCGATTAGGTAGCCATGAGCCGCGTGAATCTCGATTCCGTCAAAACCTGCTTTTACGGCAGCTTTTGCGGCGATTCGGAATCGTCGACAATCGCGGGGATTTCATCGGTCGCCAATTTTCTTGGAGGTGAGTATGGGAGTCGGTAGTCCAAGTCCAGTCCTTTGTCCGTACATGAGATTGGAGCTTGGCCTATAGGCTGCATATCTGTATGGAACGACAGCGATGCATTAATTATTGCATGTCCATGGACATATACCAATCATAGATAATATTCTAGACTGTCATTGAATAATTAACGATAACCATTTATAGTTATGAACCAAGTTTTAATTTCTAAGATAACTCTTCCCATTATATATGATTTCCCCTAAAATAGTTGAATTATGCAATCGTAGAGGATGGTACGAGATGCTCTTTTGCATAAGTCGTCAGAAATAAAACTCACATTAAAGTAATGAGGCAAGTAACAGAAAATTAAAGTTTGAGATGTTATATTACTATCCAAGCATCAGATCGAAAATACAACAGAAAAAAAAATCAGTTTTATATATAGGACACCAGTATCAAGTGTTTAAGAGGATAGGAACCCAAATCTAAATCATTCCATATTTGGCTCAAATCGCACAATTTCATTTCATATAAAAAGAGCATTCCACATTAATTTACCATGTAGATTTAAGCAAGGTAGACAATTAGGAAGTAGAACTGCAATATGAGCCGAATTGAGCTGAGTTTTGACCTAATTTGCGCTCAACTTGTTAATTTATAAATAGAGTTTGAACTCAACTAGCTTACTAAAATTTTGGATTGTGTTTGACTAGAGCTCGACTAGAATTCTACTCGTTAATGAGCTCATCAATCCTACTCAAACTCGGCTCATCAAATAGCTAGTGACTATGAATTCTGTATCCTATGAGCAGAATTCATATTTATTTCGACGTCTTGAGTTACTTCATTTATTGGCCTACCAAGTAATTATTAATATCCACAACAGACCTGTATTTGAAGCCCTGCCAGCATGCCAAAGTTGACAAAAAAATATTCCACCTTTGGCATGGACACCGTCAACAATGGGCTTCCATGCTTCTACTTGCTCTTCAGTCCAAATGCCAGGGCTGTCGGTATAGCTTTCAATCGACAAGGTAGCAAATAAGTTGCACAGACAGAAAAAATGGTGCATATATATATAGTCTATTCGAAAGGCAAGGGAGAAATGAATTTCCGAACCCGTGAGCGGTTGGCGAAACTGCAGTTGCTTCTGCAATGAGAAGGCCGCCATTGGTGGCTCTCTGGGAGTAATACAAGATGGCATGAGGCTGAGGCACATTTCCATACGATCTCTGTCGAGTCAATGGTGCTAACACAATTCTGTGGAACAATGGGTAGAAGCATCATCACATCAATGGCTAGAAGAGAGTAGGCATGATGTTGTCAAATGTAGGCCTGTCCAATCGGTTTCGGTTTTTGCGGTTTTACCGAACCGAACCGACAGGCCTAGTCAAATGTAAATTATACGTGCCTGTGAGAAAGGCTGAAGTCACCCATCTGGTGGTTGGTGAGAAGAGGAATCGCCATTTTCTCTGCTTTGCTGCTGTAGAATGTGATGGGCAGCAGATAGTTTGTTATATATATAGGCCAACAGGGAACACCCAGAATCATCTTTTCTTTAAATTTTTTTTTTTTTGTGGTGATAAAGAAAACTAAAAAGCATTGCATAATAAACTGAATCTCTTGTCGGCTGCCGCTAATAATAGGTACGCAATCATGCATTCCAGACTGCAAGTCATGTGTTGAAAAGCCTATTCTTTCTGATGATTGTGGTGTTCATAGTTAATTGGTTTGATTAACAATTTATTCATGAAAGAAATTCTTCGAAAAGAATGAGTGGCTGACTTGAACTGTAATAATTAAGAGAGGGGTTAAAGATTTATTGATTACTCTATTTTTTAAATTCAATATGTAAATTTTACGTGTAATTTGTGTCAAATGGTAATTACAGTTAAGGTAAAATGAGTTTAATATATCACACATGGTGGGCAACACATGAGTGATTGCTCATCAACTAATTGATTATACACGTCCATTGTTTTCAACAATTGAATGGAGAAGACAAGTTTAACTTGTGCAAATGAATGAGGAAGTTGAGTCATCTACTCATCTCACCCATATGTGTCTTCAATAATCAAAGAAAGAGAGCAAAGAAATTTAAAGAAGTATGTATTATTATTACCCAAGGTTGTCAACCCGCGAGCTGACCCAAACCCGGTCGAGCTAGTGGGTCAAGGGTTAATGGATCACCCGTTTTAGCCCGGGAGTATGGAAAGAGTCATTATATTGTACTTATCCTGATAAATTATATCAAATCTCATCTAACATACGAGTTATAACATATAATATTACTCCAAAATAACATGTCGTACTTAGATCCAACATATAGTGAAAATTCAAACACACTTATATAACATCAATATTCAAATGTTCAACTTAGGATTCCAAAGATTGAGCTAGGCGAAAAGAAAAATCGGAAAATAGGCGCATTTCACAAACTAAAGAAAAAAATGACACAATTTCACCTCTAAACCGGTACATATTTTATAGCGGTCGACCCAACGGATACGTGCGACCCATTTTTCTTACCGGGGCAGGGTCAAAGTGGGTCGACCCCGCAAGTTGAGAACTTTTTATTACCTGTTGTTGCATCTACCATTTATGATTTGTGTTATATGTATATATACATGTAATGTGACTGATGGGTGTTAGAGAAATAGAAAGCATAAAAAAAAGGCAAGGAAGTTTTGTGCGTATGCTTGTAACAACAATGGGGGAAAAATCAAGCCCTTATTTTTAGTTGAGTGTGTTTTCTAGATTGAGTGATAGACACTACATATTTTTTTTATTGATAGTAGATTCTACCATACTTCTTAATGGTGCTCTCGTTATTTCTTTGATTTTATAATGTTTTCTGGGTGATGGTTCCAGGGCAGCAGCTGATTGCTGTCTACTATTTGCCTTTCCTTATGCTTGGTTAGAATTGTTAATATAAATCTGAACTCAGGATCCCATCTATAGTTGTGGAATTTTTCTCTGCTGTATGGCTTTTTACTCTCTTATATAGGTAAAGGGGAAATGATTTCGTGAGATGAAAATGGCGCAGTAAGCAATTAAGGATTTTGACTGACTAAAGTCAACAAAAAATCCAATCTCAATTAAGCCGAAATGATCTTAATCCATCTTGTTTGAGTTGTTATTGGTTGGGCCAACTAAAGAAAGGCCCACGGTTCAGGTTGAGAAGATTCTGGGCTTGACAGCAACACAGGCCCGAATCTGCAACTCAGTGAAGAAGGAAAGAAATTGTTCTTCTTCACAGAGCCAATCGACCAAGAACAGAGAGAAGCAGAACAGGGGAAGCTAAACAGAGGAAATGCAGAAAGTAAAGAACACTCCAGAATTTTAACGAGGTTCACCACAGGGCTACACCTCATCCCAGGATAGTACCACTATCCTGGGAGACACTTTTGATTTTCTTTTTATGAAGCAAGGAAAGAAGAGGAAACGAATTACCGACTCTTGTGAGAAAATCAAAAGGTAACAGACACACCCGATTCTCGCAGGAATTCGATACACCCTTTGATCTGGCTGAACCTATACTTCAGCTTAGATCAAAGCCACTGATCCCAAAACTCAACCCTTTGCCCTTTTACCACAAAGAATTCCTGTTTCTTTCAGTGTGTGATCCTTCCTTTACTGGTCCTTAAATACCTTGCTAGAGAGCCATTGGAGTTTGAACAGTTGATAGAAAAGGAAGGTTGAGCAGGCTTGATCATGATCTTTGATTGATTGATCCGCTCCCCCTTGATTTATGCTCCAACCTTCTCGGCAATCTGCTAACTTGAAATATATCAATTTAACAATCTCACCCTAAGTTAGAGATTGCAAGTTGACGCTTGAACCCTGCAAAACAGACAAAACCTTCCCAGGCAAGCATAACATACATCTATCCCCAACCAGACAACCATTAACTTGAAAAGTTTTCAATCATCTGGCAAACATTCAATCCAAGCAACCCACCACAGAAGATGGTAGAAAACATGTCCAGCAAACCAAATCCAAAGCTGGGAAAAACACATCCAGCAAACCACATCAAAAACATCCTAAACATTTAAGACCAGTATTCAGAAAAACATAATCATCAAGACCAGTATTCAGAAAAACTTAATCATCAATCAGAACCATAAGCATCATGAAGAGCAGCAAACACAGCATCTAAAGGAGGCGAGCCGGAATCAGAGCCATCATCGTTGTCACTGCTGCTACTGATCCAGTGAACTTCAATAACCTGATTTGGTTCTTCCTCGGGTTCAGAGTCGACGTCCAGAGGGGTGACTCGATCTAGCAGCACATTTCTAGGAAGAAACCGACAAGTGAGGAAAAAATGGAAGGTACGAATGGCTGGGAGCAGGAATGTTGTGGAGATGGTAAGCAAGGCATCTGGAAGGTGACCAGTGAGATGCACAAACTCATGCTCAATGTTGAAATTGAACAGTATTAGTTCAAAGTCATGAGCTAATATCTCTCCAACTTGAGAGATAGCAAGGAGACGCCTGAGATCCTCAATAGGGATAGTCACTAGATGGCCATAAATCATAGTGGTGAAGGTACGAGTATCAAGGTCAAAAGATCGAAAGTTTGAGTAAAACAAGCGAACACCCTCAGGACAAATTAAATAAGCTCAGGAGTTTCATCAATGAGAAAATCCCAACCCAGGTTATGAATAAGCTGGGTAAAATCAAGACCATACTCAACCAATC